CCCCCGCCGCCCCGCGGTCCCCCGCTCTGGGACGGCGAGGAGAGAGGGCAGCGCTTCACATCAGCTCGGCCCCCCCCCGAGGACCCTGGCAGCCCCCCATGCCGGATCCACGGGGGTCCTGCCTCCCACCTACCTGATCCTTCCTCCTCCTCTTCCTCCTGGCCTTCGGCCTCTTCAGGTGCCTCAGCCTCTTACGCCCTCTGCTCTCTGCCATCCCCTGCAAGGCAGGCAGTGGGTCACGTCCCCCCGGGGAAGGGGGTGCATGTGCACACTTACCTCTGCCCCTGACACTGCCACAACAGCTTCCCAGCCTGCTGGCCCAACTCGCTCTGCTCACCGACGAGCACAGAGACATCTATCTTAAAAGCCAGGGCAGGAACCAAAGGAGAGAGAGCTCATGCTCAACCCTATTGTAGCCATCAGAGAGTCCCCTCATGCACAGGAAATCCCGCTCAGATGATGCCCTCTTAATGGGATCCCGACTGATCAGCAGCTGCCATACCAGATAGGGTCCCTTCCTTGCACCCCCAGCCCCATTTTGGAGCCAGGTGAAAAGGGGCTGGAGTGGCGAGCGGTCCCACCTGCAGCGAGCTCAGCGTCCGGCTGCTCTGGCTGCTGCTGCTGCCTCAGCGCTGTCTTGGTGTTGGTCATCCAGGCTTGATAGGCCAGCTGTGCCGGGGGGAGACGGGGCCCGTGAGCGCCCAGCGGGCACAGCCAGCCCCCCCGGAGCCCTGCTGCCTGCGGGGGCCATGCTCACCTGGAAAGCACTCTGCTTGCCCGGCCGTGGTTCCTCCGGCACAGCCTCCTCCTCCTCCTCGCTGTCCGACTCGAAGAGGAAGTATTCGCCCGAATGAAGCACTGCCAGGGCGGCACGGGGTGTCAAGGCATGGGGTGTCACAGCACGGCACAGGGTGGCATGGCACGGGGTGGCACGGCATGGCCAGTGCCTGGACAGACCCCGCTGCCGTCTCCCCAGGGCCCTGCCTGGTCGCAGTGCCATGGGCGCAGCGCTGCCGGCTCAGCACCGAGGGCACCCACGGGTGTCCCCATCAGAGGCAGCAGGGCTGAGGACTGGAATCGGATGTCCCCAAAGAGGAGTCCCTCTGGCACTGGCATTTGGAGAGGCTCACGATACGCAGCTCTCTGCAGCCGGCCGGGAACCACTGTGCTGAGCGGTGCCGGGAACCTGCGGCCGGGAACGCTGGGCCCACCCCGGCCTGCCCAGACGCAGAAAAAGCCCCAGTTAATGTCCTGCGGCCGAGAGAGGGGACGGGAGACATGCAGGGTGCCACCTCGCTGAAAGCACTGTCACCACCGCCCCGTGCAGCCCCTGCGGGTGTTAGTGGCCCCGGCGGAGGGACCTTTCCGAGGGGCTGTGCCCCGGTTAAAGCCCCGTGCCGGGGCAGTACCTGCGGCGTGGTCTAACCATGGCCGCCACCACCGCTCCCTCTGCCGGGAAGGGTCTGCCTGGCCGCTGGGCTCTGTGGAACGGCACACACGGGGCTGAGCACTGCCGCGCTCATTGCACCATCCCCCCAGACAGGGCCAACCACAGAGGGAAGGGGTGGTTCACCGCAAAACTCCAAGAGTGGTGAGGGGGCTCCTCGCCGGTCACCAGCCAGCGAGGACGTGGGACGAGAAAAGGGGGATGGGCATCAGTGACAGGTTGAGGCCACCCTGCCATGCCCCGAGAGGGGACAGGAGACGCTGGGCACGGCGGGCGC